TCTCTTTCCAATATTGATTGAGGTTACTTTCTAAAATTTTATTTGTAGTCGTGTGGAATGTCAACATGTTGATTATGCCATTATTTTCTATTCGATTTACATGTGCTTCATGTGATATGGTTTCTATTATTTCTTACAGTTCTTCATGTGATAATGTAGCGCCAGCTCAGGAAGTTCGAAGTTATTCCTCGCCAAGACTTTCATTTTAAGTCATTTTAAGTGTTAGCTTTACATTACTGTTCACATACTTATTAGTAATGATAATTCCTTCAGGCTGATTGATTAATTATATTATTAAAGACTTTGCAAATATGTCTGTTTCTTTCCTTTGACGATGCCATTGTCATATTCTTCATTATTTATTGTTTTGAAGTTTTTTATGCATTTTCACTTTCCTCTTGATTAAAATACATTCACACTCTCAACTGTTTCCGCTTTTTAATCTATTTGCCTCTCTTTACTTGAAGACAAATTATTTCTTGCCACAAATAAAAGCTCACTGATGATTAGCAAATGATTTACGTCAGCCAAATTAAAGCAATGATTCTTTTGTTTTTCGATTTTATGAGGCAAGCTAAAGACAAAGCCAATGGCGTTGTTGGAAAATATCTCCGACTTCTTTTGATAATTCTCTCCTAAGGAATCAAGGTTTATGACAGAAAACCAATATTAATTTATGTGAAAGACGAAATATTATCATATAACTGCTCGCCAGATTTTGTTTCAATCAAAGGCAACGGAGAGATTGCTTTGGGAAAAATGTCCTGCGCTTACCATAGAGATTTTTTGGGTGGTGAAATGGATAGCAGCATGGAATAAAAAGTCGGAGAGCCGAGTTCGAATTTCAGTCGATTGTCTTACAGTTGTTTTGGACAAGTATGAACCCATCTCCTTCCCTCAAGTTATGGGTTAAATAGTAAAACATGTATTTGGATAATTATTGTTATGTTCATAAAAACGGTCATGCAATATTCTCTCGCAAAAAAAATAAACTAATTATTTTTACGTTCTTAAAATATGTTTCGGCTGTAAATAACCAACAAAGAGTTGATAATCCGTAAAAAACAAAATCAATCAACTGCGTTTCTCTGAGGGAAATACTGTGCACTTCATCTGGGTGAATGCTAAACTCCGAAATTTTATTTACTATTTTTTTTTTCAATAGTATTAGATATATTCGCCTTTCGCACGGTTCACAGAAATTCCCCGTCTTTCGAACGGATTTCCTATTTAGGATTGGGTTTCCAGTTCCTTCTCATAAAGTCTGCTGATTCGTTATTTCCTTTTATACGTTTTATCAAACCTTTTTAAGTTATTTAAAGCCATAAAATATTTTTTAGATTGTAGGAATTTTTTTGGTGGGAAGAAGAAGATAATAATAGTTTAATAATACAAGTATTATTAATTAACCCATAGCTGGGAAAAGAAGATTTGAATTCATGCCTTTCCGAAAGATATTTGCGCGTAAGTGAATATAATGTACTCAACTGGGATTAGAACTCGGCTCTCAAATTAACAATTCCCAGACATTATACCATTCACCATCCAAGCTTACAATACACTAAGCAGTTATGCGTCTAGATACTGCCCAGGCTCGATGTTGCTTAACTTTGGTGACTGTACAGGAACTGATGTTTTAATGTAATGTGACTGTAATCCCCATTCATTTTGCCAATGCGTTACTTTTAAGAAAATACTATATATTTCCGTTGAGAATCTTGTTTATCTGACATGAGAAAAAGATTCGTATTCCTTGCCTAGGCATGCTGTACATTTCCTTTTAGCAAAATGTATTCTCCCTGTGGGCTTACAATACATTTCCATTGTGGAGATGTATGTATTTCTTTTGAGTAAAATTTATACATTTATCTCTGTTGGCGTACTGTGTATTCTTTATGAAATTTTATGCATTTCTTTTAGGGATATCACATGCATTTCTTTTGCGACGGTAAAATGCATTTCTTTTAGGGAAATGTTATGCATTTCTTTAATGAAAGTGACATGAATCTCTTTCGGGGTAAATATGGAACTGACATTACTACAGTTTGCTGAGTATAGAAAAATTTCAAAAGATGGAAAGAATTTTAAATCGGCGATTACCATTTCATGTTAAATATTGATTTTAAATATGCTATACAAAATATCTAAATTACGTCAGACCACTCTAGAATTGCTACTGGTATCATGTAACCGTACACTGCTTGCTGTATGGTCGGGGTATTGGCAACTAAACCGGATTCCTCGCATAGCTTTTATGGTAAGTAGTGTGGCTAAGCACCCAGCAGGATTAAGAAGAATGGTCAACAATGATCTAGTACATTGTAGTAGACTGGGACCCATGTATGCAGACTTGTGCAGTAGCGCGTCGGCATGGCTAGGCGTAAAATTGTAAAAGACAAGGCGGAGTGTTCTATTGATGGTATCATCAGCCACGTGGCCGAAAAAAAGGTGAGCCGTTAAGTAGGGGAAAATAAGCTGAGCTGGAGAGGGATAGGCTCCGACTGGCTTACTTTGCCAAATTATAGGATGATGATGATGATGATGATGATGATGATGATGATGATGATGAATTTCGTATCATAGACAAAGCAAGTGAGGAACGTGGGATAATCGGTCATGTCCTCCAGGGACACGGAAAATAAATGATGATGATGATGATGATGAACTCTCGCATAAGTGGCATTTTCTAAATTCGAAGTTTTTTCTTTACCTCTAAAATGTTCACTTTATATAAACTGACAACATGGATCTGTTATCGGATCATTTCACCTATTCCTCTAATTGATTCATTTTTTACGGTTTATCAATCTTTTATAGGTCATTTAAAGCCGTAACATATTTGGGGATTGTAAGACTATATATATATATATATATATATATATATATATATATATATATATTTCTGAGTGAATATTGTATTAAGAATTTCTTGGAAATAAAACTTTATGATACAAAGCTTACTGTTTTAACCTGTATATGGTAAAGAAGTAGTGGATTCATGCCTTTCTCGAGTGTATTTGTGCGTAAGGGTATATAATGAACCCGACTGGAATTCGAACACGACTTTCCGACTTCTCATTCCGAGCTGTTATTCCTTATAACACGGGTACATCCAAGCTTGCAGAAGCTAATATTCTCAAGCCTTCACCCCCCCCCCCAAGATACTAACCAAGTTCGACGTTGCTTAATTTCGGTGATCTGTCGAGAACCGGTATCGTCCGATTGGTATTTAAAAAGGAAATATTGATCGGATATGGTGAAAAGCGCTCTTTTCTTCTACGGATTTGAAATTAAAAACAATATGGATGATTCCAGACAAGGAATGTTTAAGTGCCAAATTCTAGTCAGAAAACAACCAGAAACCACCGTTAGTGCCACGCCTCCCAACTGATTGTTCTATAAAATAAACTAATGAATAGCTTCGCAGAAAGGAAAGTAAGATACTTTTGTTCGAAGATAGGTCCCATTTTATTATAATTTAAACACTCCAATGCTAAGAAAACCCGCTTTTGTGCAGCAGTCAATATTAAAAACAGGATTGCCAAACTGGGCGACGAGCAACGAACTCGATTACATTTGATGCTTTTTAATTGGGAATTACCTTTACATCGCATTCTTAGCTTAGATTTGCCTCAATAATTTTAAATGTATGGCATCGTCGATAGGATGTTTAAGTCGCTTAGATGAATCAAAATTTGCGGAAATTTGAATCCGGGATTTTTCAATTCAGGCTAAAGATACAAAATTGAAAGGCAGACAGGGAAGAGAGGGAGAAAATGAAATAACTGACATCTTTCGGCATTTTGAGAAGCTATAAAAATAGTTTGTGTTATAACATAGCCCAAACAGTTGGATAAGTGGACTATTGATCATATGTCTTGAAACAACACAATAAAACAAAAAGAAAAACAAAAGCGCCATAATTAACAAAATGTACAATTTATTTGCTTGGGTTTATACGACTTCTTTTTTCAACATGGCAGCTCGTTCCCAAGTATCTGCTCAAGACAGGTTGTGTGTGTGCGTCTGTGTGTGTATGTCTGTGTGTGTGTGTCATACATTAGAACTTCTACATACATGTCAGAACGGAAAAATACTCATGTTTATCACATTAATTTTAGAAGTATGGGTCCAGTTTATAATATGAATATATACTCAAATCGATCCCTGATTTCTTATAGATTTATCTCTACTTCGTATTTTTTTTTTAATTTATAAATGTCAAGTTTGAAACTGAGCTTACACCATTAATAGCTGCATGCTACTAATGTTTTCCTTTTTCCAATTCGGAATAAAACGCAGTTATCAATTATGTGGATGAAGTTTCATATTTTATATTTATAAATAAAAACAAGGTATAAATAACCCTTGAAAAAATCAGCGATCGGTTTGGTACTTTATCTATACAGGAAGTGGAAGAATTAACTCCCATATGTCTCATTCAGAAACATCTTCCACATAATAGTAAGATATTAGTACCCATAGTGTCTTCATCTTGTCAATGCCTTACTATTATTTGGGAGTTATTTTCGAGAGATATTCGAGTGGTATTTATGACACACCCTGTATTATAAACTATATTAACCCTTCTAAAATGATTTTGAAATTCAATACTTTTCGATTCTGACAAATATCCTGAACAAAAGAATGTTTAATAAAAGCTAAAATATGAAAAATGTTAAAATCGCACAAAACAATATTAAAAAGTGAGTTAAACCAATAAATTACGAAAAATAGCATTAATGGGAAATAAAGGCACGCGACAAATATTAACTTGCCCGCTCGTAAAATATAGGAAAGTATTTCGAAGAGAGGAAACATTATCATTCATAAGGCTTCCTTCTATGCAGGACATTTGTCAGAATCGTAAAAATATTCATATTTATCAATTTAAAAGCAGGGGTCACCTTTATAATATAAATACAGAGAAAAAGAGTTATCTGTTTATTTGTTTTTTTTTGTTTTGTTTTTTTTCTTCTTCTTTACAAATGTCAAGGCTTACAGCCACATCACGTTGAAGCACCGTTTCCCATGCGATCACCAAAGTTAAGCAACCTGGAGCCCGGTCAATAACTAGATGAGTCACTGCTTGTGAATACCAGGTGCTGTCAGCTTGGATGTGTGTGTGGTGCAATATATAATGGCTTAGAATTGTGAATTGGATAGTCGAGTTCCATTTCCAGTTGGGTTCGTTATATTATCCTTGGGAAAGGTAAGAATCTACTTTTTTCCGTCCAGCTATAGGTTAATAAATAAGACTTGTATCTCTAAACCATAATCATCTCAAAATATTCTTAAAATCTAAAATATTTTCTGGCATTAAATAACCTACAAAGGGTTGATAAACCGTCGAAAACGAATTGAGTCATCGTTTACACTGTTTATATTCGGAATATTGTCCTCATCTTGGGTATTGTTATCACAACGTTTCGGCCTTTGTACCTTTTGGTCTTCATCAGGTGTTTATCGAGCTAGGTAAGCTACAGTGAATTCAAAACCGAACCCTTTATTTAATCTACATGGATGGACTGTTCTCGTTTCACTGCCCTTGTCTAGGGATATCTTGTCTAGTTCCTATTTTAAGTACTGCTCAGTTTTTTCTCGTCCGCTTCCTTCCACTGAGTCCAAGTAAACAATCTCCGGTTCTGTGTTTGAATTCACAATTACTGTCACCAAGTTCAAAAACCCAAGATTTAACCCACAATGCTATTGACCCGCGTGATTTAATGCTTACGTCATTAATTACTGCGTATAACGGATTTTGGAATTTTTTCCAATTAGGAATAGAACACAATTATTGGTGACGTAACCACAGTTTCAATCTTGACATATATAAATGTAAAATAAATATATATATGATCTTCAATGGTAGATTTGACACAGTATTTATATTATGAACACTTCCAAAATGATATTTTTTAAAAATCAGTATATTTTATTCTAACAAATATCGTGGGTAGAGAAAGGGTAGATAAAGAAAAGATAACGGTAAAGTTTAGATAATCTTTTTAATCCAATCGTTCATAATAAATCGTGGAATGAAGGTCGTTTTGAACGGTCTCGCTTCCAGCTCCTTTCACGCAAACGCGGGTGGTCCTAATCCTTTATCCTGGGTTCTACGCTGTTATCGATTCTCATCAATGATCTGATGATGTCATCAGTTCCCAAGTAGGCATTTATGCAAATGAAACTACTATTTACTCCTGACTCAATAGCAAATCTGTCAGAGCTGACAAAGTAAACATGGTTGCTGCTCTTGAAAAGGACATCGAATCAGAGGTTAACTGGGACAGGAAATGGCTTGTAGTTTTTAATCCCTCCAAAACAAAACTGCTTTCACTTAACGACCATAGGGATCCTTTTCTCTCTGCCATTAGAATCCTGGAGAACAAAATGCTGCATCTTCTTGGCCTCACGTTTTCAGCTGATTTGAATAGAGCGACTACACTGAATCATTAGCTGCATCTTCTGCAAGGAAATTTGGGTAACTTTGTTGTGCCAGTATTTTTCTCTTCAAAATCCTTCTTGTAGATTTACAAATCTACTATTAGTCAGTGCATTGAATATTGCTGCCATATCTGCTCTAACGCTCCTGCTATTCATCTCGAGGTTCTTGATAAAATCCAAAGAAGGATCTGTAATGTAATCGATCCTAACCTGGCATCTTTACTTCAGTCACTTTCTCATCGACGAGATGTTACTTGCCTCTGTCTTTTCTACAAATATTTACATGGCAACTGATCTTACGGGCTTTTTTCTTCCTTGGTGCTCGACTACATGAATTTAAGCGTGCTACTAGATTGGCATCTAGGTCCCGCGGTTTTACTGAAGAAATAGCTAAATATAGCCCTCATTTTTATCCAGACACTTTATTTTCTCACACTTCCAACCTCTGGAACGTCCTTCTGATTTCTTGCTTCCCGGTTAACTACAATGTTCAAAAATTTAAATGCAAAATCATTTCCCATTTTCTAATTTCTTGAATCTCTTACATCTTTTGCCCTTTCCTCAATTCTCTCTATTCTCGTTTTTTTTTCTTTCACTTTCACTCCCTGTAACACCCTGCGCGCTAGTGGAATTTCCGCCTTTCTTGGCGTGAAATGATTAAAATATGCTAATCTATAGAAATTGTTGGAAAAAATTTGCCTTGTGTATTACGAGCGGTCCATTTAGTATGAATAGTACTAATAAATGAAGTAAAATTTATACATTCATTGTTTAATGACAGAATGTTATAAATTGCACAAAGAAACTATTAGTGATAACTCGTTGATCAAATGAAATGAAAAAAATTGCTATGATTAGGTGTCGTTTCGGAACCTGACATTTCAAGCGAATTCGTGTATTCTAGCTTGACAAAGACTACTTAACTGTGATGTAACATCCGTCCTTCTATATGTCAGTGAAAGCAAAACAATCACCTCACAAGGGAAAAAGAGATTGTTTTAATAATTTCGCTAAAAGCAAGTTAATAAAAACGCTAAGACACAAGGGTTTACTGAATATAAGAGAATATGGGAAAATAAAACATTATTAAGAAGAGAAAATAAAAGAACAGGAATTAAGTAGACAGGAGATAACGATTGACATTGCATTTAAAAGTCTGAAGATCAAAGATGACTTGAAAGCAAGAAGCTGTAAGACGGTTCCACAAGTGAGAAGTATCAGAGAATCAACTGTTAGAATAGAATTTACTGTTACATCTAACTATTTCAACTATAAGATGATGAGACCTTACCACCAAACTAGTACTGCGCTTAAATTCGTAAAGTCTAGATAAAAAAAAGAAAAGTTCAACAGAACAATTACGATGAAAAAAATATAGAAAAGGCATTGGGGCACTTTTTTTAGGGCGATGGGAAAGTGACTGAAGACAAGATGTCAGTCATTAGTTCCACCAATTCTAACCTTCACGGCTAAGAGTCACCATGCTCTGAAATCATAGCGAAACATCAACATTCCCTTGATATTCCATTGGCGAGATGTAAGTTCGACTCGAGCAACTGCTTCCCACGAATCGCTGCATTGTGGAACCGCCTCCCAAGAGGACGCTTACCCGAGCTCTACAATCATAACCTTTTGAAGTCTTGGGTTGAATGTTATATTCTCTACATATCAGCAGAAATTGTGCCTCTTACTCTGCAACCCTCTACTTTAAGCCTTGTACAAGGTGAACATCATTGTAAAGGAAAAAATACAGAGCCATCAAGCCAGACATTGGGAATACAAAGGATGGAGCATGTAAACAACGATGCAGTTTATGGAAAATGGAAACAAAAAGACGTTTATGCTTAGAATAATAAAGAGACAGATGAAATGCCTAGGGTACATAACTAAGGAAAGAGGACTTGGAAAATTTGACCCTCACAGGATATAATAGCGAATGCTGTCTTCTAAAAAGCAAACAACGTATCAAGAAACGGAAAAATAATTATAAATAAAGAAAATATTACTGAACTGTTTGTTATGCATTGTAGGTTCTCTTATATGACAGGGAATAGACAATCCCCTTAGATGAAGAAGAGCCAACAGAACTATTTTCTACAGAATTATGGGGAGAATCCTATTCTTTGAACATATGATTAACAAAAAAGTTTAAGTGAAAATGAAAAGAAAATGGACAATTATATTTAGAATCGGAAAGAGACAATTTAAATTTCTAGGACGCGTAATGGTGTAAACGGGCGTAGAGAGAACTCACGGGACATACTAGAGGCAAGAAAGAAAGACAAAAAAAGGCAGTGAATAACTTACCTTACGAGTTTTTATCATTGATTGGACGAATAATGATTAGGAGAGACAAATCTTACTAAGAGCTATAAAATACAGGAAGTTGTGGAGAGCCATAATTGCCTGCGTTACGAAGTGCCACGGTATATAGAAGAATATTACAGTTTATTTTATACAAAGACAAATTTATCACGATTTCCATGGAAAATGGTGAGATGATTTCCATTAGTTCGTTTCACCAGTTCAAACATTTACAAATACGATGCGTCATAACATTCTCACACAGTCGAATCACCTTCATTTCATACATATTTTATAAGTCCGGATAAATTTTTAGTCACACTGCTCCGCCCCACCACAAGAACTGCTACTTTGTGGAAGAGATTTCCGCATAGGTCCATACCCGATGGCCAGAATTTTAACTTCTTCTAGTCAAGAGTATATCATCATACATATACTTATAATCTTCACTTCTTACCAACTCCTGTTTCATTTATATCATACAACTCAGTCAGCAATGCTCTACCTTGGGTGCTTCTTTAGCCTTGGATTAGATGAATCTTAATGTTCTCCAACAATATATTCTTGGAATATTTCAAATAAAAGTTTGACGACAAACCGAGAGAACAGACGATAAATCGCAGTGTGATGAAAGGCAGGCACTTGTGACAATGTCATAAGCGCCAGATAATCTTATAAATTATTTAAACCTCATTTATTTATCAGAATATAGAGTTAACATTTCTGATGCCAACATAAAAACAAAGGTTCTATTACGGCGAATAGTTTTAAAATAGCAGCTTCAATAGTTAGCATAGGGCAGAAATTATTTATGAAAATTAAGTTTACGTATTCCGTACACACACACTCAAGCAGAGAAGTGAGTATGGTACGAGAAAGGAATGGCACTGAAGATGAGAATAAACGAGTGTCGTTTGATAGTTTTCCCTTTTGTATGGCAGTGAGTCATGGACCCCCTACAGACTCCACATTAAGTCACAGGAAGAATTCCATCACAGATGCATTGGAAACATCAAAAGATTATATACATATACATATATATATATATATATATATATATATATATATATATATATATATATATATATATAGTGGACTCTCCCGTCGAATTCGACGTATGAGGGTCAAGCGGATCAGTTCCGGGAAACCGACATCACGACAACAGCACAAGAGATTTGATTATAGTGTTGAAGGTTTCGCGCAGGACCATCCACACTTTTTGAAGGGCCGAATACAGAGACCTGGTGCACTATGTGCCACAGGGTCCCCAAACGACCCTCCGCAGGTTTTGAATTCAGAGTTGTCCTTCTCCTAGACCAGTTGCCATTCAAGGCTATAGAACCTAGTCTATCCTGCTATTT